TGCTTGTCAGCGCTCTTTCCCATTCTGAAATGGATGACTTTGTGTGTAGAAGACTTCCGATTGTTTTCAAGGCCAAAGGTAATCCTTTGCACTTTTCAACTATCTTCACACCAATCTTCTTCAGTTCAACATTCAACCGAACATTATCATGTTGCAATGCATGATCAGCAAAAACTTCCCAACAATAATCTTCTCGCAATTGCTTTAGGTGATGCACTTTATCTGACCGCATTGTAGAAGCAACTTTCTCACTGCGTGTCGTGACAAGAATTACACTTCCCTTAGCCCCACAATTAAGAGGAGTTTGCACAACTTCCCATTTATCTCGTCTTTCATTCCAAACGTCATCTAAAACAAGAAGAAATTTCTTCCCTACCAGTTTTTTTTTCAGTCTTCCATGAATCATTTCTAGGTCCCCACTATGATCTTTTGATTTAGTGACTCCCTCAAGAATTGATCTAGATACGTTCAAAACATCAAAATTATCTGAAATACAGACCCAAGCTTTGATACTAAATTTAGCATCCTTCACCCTTGGATCATTGTATACATGTTGGACAAGTGTGGTCTTACCTACCCCGCCCATACCCACAATAGAAAGTATTGATAGGTGATTAGCATTATCAGGTTTGAGCCAATTAAAGATAATATCTTTCTCAGTATCTCTGCCATAAATAACACTTTGAATTGCCAAAGATGTTGATGGCAATTTTTGTGACACTTTACTATTCGACCCTGATCCAACCTCAACACCACCAGCATTTTTCAAACCAAGAAGATCTCTCTGGCTTGAGAGAACTTCTAGGTTATGAAGGACTTGATTGATCCTTAATTTAAATTTGCTTACTTCTTTCACCTTGTATTTGGAGGCTTCATAGTCCATCTCATCGAGCAAATCCTCGGCATCAAACAAGGCATCTTTAACTTCATCGAGCCATGCTTTCACGTATGAATTACTGAACTGCTTTTGTTCCGCATCATCAACCACAGCATTGATGGACAACAAGTTCGCCTTCAATTTGTTCAGCAGCATCTCAGCTTCTTCACTTCCAACAAAGTAGGCCAAAACATGGCGAGAAAGGAGCCTATCAAATAGCACCTGAAAGAAAGAAGAAAGAAGAGCACCACAAACCAATTCTATGACCATGGCAGCAAAGGATGAATCTGACCCAACGAACAAGAACAAAGGATTGTGCTTAATTTTGTCAATGCAGATAGAGTAACAACATGCAACGTAAGGAGTAAGGATCACTGGTTTGTTCTCTAATTAGAGTTACCGTTTTATTTTGATACAACACACATATTTATTATTTATACCTATTATATAAAAATAATTTTCTATTTTCGTTTACACAATTTTTTAGATTGTTATATCCTTAAATTTTTAAATAATAAAAAATAATATTAAAAATTAATCATACTTATAAATTTATAAACACTTGCTCTACTACTATTTGATACATACGTATTTTTTTTATTCAAAAAATATATTTAAAAAATGTTATATTTTAATAAAAGAAATATATATTTAAATTATCATATGTATAAAATATAATTCCAGAAGAGATATTTATTTATTTAATGTCTGTTAAACATTCAAAGAAAATTAATTCAAAAGAGATGTTCATTTATTTGAATTAATTTTTTTAAAACAATTAATTATAATATATATATATATATATATATATATATATATCAATTCTCACATATGTAATGTAATATATTTAAAAAATTAATTTTTGATAAAATAAAATTTGTAGTATACATGTTTATCTTTTCTACTTTTTATTTACTGTATACGTTGATTAAAAAAATTAAAATAGGAAATATCGAAAGATTTATGTTCTATTTTAAATTTTTATTATAAAACATATTTAAATTATCATCTAAAACTTTATATTAGATATTAAAAACATGTTTATATCATAAATAAATTAAATTAAATTTTTATAAAATTTAACATATTTATTTTTATATTTTTATTAGTGTTAAATTATTATAAAGTAGGTCTTTAAAATTATAATTTTAACCAAACATTTAAAAAATGTTTATGACCGATAAATAAGTTATATTTAAAATATGTATTTTTAAAGAAGGTTAGGTTTAAACCTACTAAATTATAATATAATATAGTTTGATTTAGTTTATTTTCATCTTTAATTATAATTATAGATATAAAAGTCTGTAAAAAATAATTATGATATAAATTTGTACTTTTAAAAATTATATGTAAAATTTTTAATACTACAAATATATGAATAAGTATTGTTTTTACTATCTAAAATTTCTAATCCGCCATTGACAACATCAGTTAATTCAATAAACATTAATAATTTTTAAACATCTTTAAATAAATATAGAGATGCATAATATTTGGACTTCATAATAAGTTATATTAATATTCATTTATCCATATTATTGATATAAAATTTCAACTCTATTTACACTATGATTAGGAAGAGGAAAGTTAATAAGAAAAGAGAAGAAGTACAAGGAAATGAATAGCAACAACCAAACATTATAAATTACACCTAATTGTTCTTCCATCCCGGCAAGGATTGATGGCAAATTGATGGCAATAACGTGTATTGAGTCTGTATTCATTTATTTATGTCCTTGGTTTTGTACATGTATTTAAACCCTGACAACGTGCTATCTCGTACACGAAGAGATCCAAAAAGACATCTCAACAAAGCATAACAATAAATTAAATTTAACTGATTAGAGATCTCGAGCACATTTTTATTATGACTATATTTTTTTTCTCTCTTTATATAATTAGTTTAATTTTTTTTTTAATTTTCTATCAAGGTTATTTCTAATACTATTGAGTTAAAAATTAAGCTATATCACATGATTGTCGTTGACCTAACGATTTTTTTATATAGAATAAGAGATGAACACGAGTTTTTGACTAAATATATTGATTGTCTTTGTATTATGTAAATGATTGTTATTAGGTTAAATTTGATCCCTTGATTTTTAAAATACTTTTTGGTGTAAAAATAAAGTCTTCACATCCAATCGAGACCGACAATAATAAAATTTTGTATATAGCGATACATGTAATTTTTTATTTTTTATTTATATATTGTGGCATATACTGATGGTAGCCGATAAGGCCGAACACCCGATCCAAACGAGCTAATCGGCCTTGTTGAGAACACCGATCACCTCTTATCTGGGCTGAACAGGTCGGTGTGCTCGGCCATGTTACGGAGTTATGTCAGGACAATTAAGGAGAGATTAATTTACCTAATACACTAGTTTAACCCCTAATTCTCCGGGACCCATTCCCTAATCGTGGCCCAATAACAACCACTATAAATAGACCTCCAACGAGGTACGTAACTAATTTTCAACTACCGCATTTAATACGCCGAGCACTTACTTGAGCGTTGGAGTGTCTTTGCAGGCACCCCCCTCACTTCGTACTACCCAGAAAGGAACGAGAAGACCTAGACCAAGGATCAGACCCGCAACAGCAAGGACAAGTAAAGTGTGTATCCTAATACAAGAATATTTGGCGCCCACCGTGGGGCCGAAGAGACGTTTTCAGCCCCCTTTTTCTCTACTGACTAAGATCGAGACATGGTAGTTACGCGCAAAGGACTATCAACATCGACCCAACCGATCCCTAACCCCGAGAACAATCCTGGCATGACTGACCAAGAACAATACCCGTACGGAATGCCTCAAACACAACCGGAGCCTGCAACACAAGAGGTCCGACAGAACACCACCGAAGCCCAGCCTGACCTCCACGATGACTTGCGCGCATTGCGCGAGGAAATGGCAGCCATACGCAAACAGAGAGAAGCCGATGCCAGGGAGTTGGCCGAACTTCGCCGGCAGAACGCCGAGCTCCGGAGTTTGAACCAAACCTATGTTCCGTAACTCCCACGCTTGTGGAAGAATCAACCTATCATGCCCCAACCGATCAGGTCACCCGAACACCGGTTACCTCGTCAATTAGTGGCAAGACCGGCATCGCCTCTCACTCATTAAGGCATCCGTTCTCCCGAAGGATAATGGAAGCCACCCTTTTGGACCATTGGAAGAGCATGCCGATCAAGAAGTATGATGGGTCCACCGACCCCGAGGAACACTTGAATGTCTTTCTAACACAAGTCACCCTATCGACCCAAGATGACTCAGCCCTGTGCCGGATATTCCCCAAAACTTTGAAGGGAAGGGCTTTGAGCTGGTTCACGCGTTTGCCGAGCTCTTCCATTGACTCGTTCAATGAGTTGTCATCTTAGTTCACCCTACAGTTTGCGACGAGCAAACCGTAAAAGACGACCTCGCTAGCATTGGCGGGGATTCGACAAGAAAAGAAGGAAAGTTTGAGAAGCTTCATGGACCGATTCAACAAAATCGCCATGGAAATTGACGATCTCAACCCAGCCGTGGTGATGGATCGGCTGAGCACTACCCTGAGGCCGGGGCCATTTGTGAACAACTTGTGTAAAAAACCACCTGGTGATATGAACGATCTCTGATGTCGAGCAGAGAAGTACATGCAAATGGAGGAGTTGGCATAGACCAGAAATCAGGCTAGGGCCGAGGAGGGGTACAACTGAAAGGAATCCGGTCGAGAGTCGATTAGAAAGGTGAATG